ATAAATTTTAAATAATGAAATCGTTGTGCTGTAATTTGAAAAAAAATCATGAATTACGTCTTTTTTGGTTGTTCCCAATTATTATGAAAAGTACTTTAGATATACAAAAAATGATAATAATTTTTAAACGACTCTTTCTGTCAATATAAATGTGTTAAAAGGAACAAAATCGATCACTCATCATTTATCAATTGGAGTGATATTTCTGGTAGAAAACGATAGGTTGAACATATTATTAAAATTATTAAACTAGAACGCTACGTTGTAATAAATATTAATCAATTTTAATTTGTTGGTTTTTCCCAATAGATTACGAAAACTACTTTGGATATCGAAAAACAACTTACTCTGTCAGCGGCGAGATATTAAAAGGAACAAAATCGATATTTTGTCATTTTTGATTTGGAGCTATATTTCTAGTAGAAATCATTGGGTAAACCATGGTTACATATACAATGCAATGTTATTGCATATAGATTCGGTTTGTTATCATCAGATACAACTGTCTGCGTATAGGATATCACAAATATCAATTTTTGTATCATGACAAAAACAGTAAATATATATTTTATTATGAAAGATTCCCTTTAGGCTGAGATTTTTGTTTTTATTATCAAATATTTGATTGAAAAGTGGTATATATAGAATAACCTTATACTCACTGTGCAATAAACGTTCAAAACATTGTTGTAACGTTGAACTCGAGTTCCAAAACAGCATTACCAATTAACATTACTGCGATATTATATAACTATTACATAAAAATAATAGTTTACATAACAACGAGTAACATTATTTAAATATTTATATTTAATATTGGCGCTATTATTACAGTGTAACGTTCATAAAATATTCCATTGAAACTGTAACTTAAAAAAAAAGTGTGCGTTATCGTTTCTTTGGGATTTTTACATTTTATATTTGAGTGTATGCAGTGACTTTTTATCATTTTTATTTCACTGATAATGTGGTTCTTCACCAACAATAAACAGCTATAATATACTTATTTAGGCATGGGCGTCCATTGAGAGGCAAGGAGGGTACATGCCCCCCTAGATTTTCTGAATCTATTATACTTTATAATTTATATTAAATACATTGAAGAATAAATTAATGATTGATATTCATATATATATATACGATAATTTAATTATACAAAAGACTAATAATACCAAACTAAAATTGTTCCAAACTGTTGATACATAATAGATTCCTCTTTTTTTACCTAGTTATTTATCACTAAAAGTTGGAAATATTAATTGTGGCTGTTGAATTTTAAATAAAACTTGATCACTATTTTCTAATTTTCTTATAAAATTCTGCAAAACTGGCACTAATTTTATCTATAATTAGAGTTTAGTTTTTTTAAATATTTTTTTCTACATATTTTGCGGTGCAAACACTACTTGATTTAATAACTTGTTTTATTTTAAAATATCAAACTGTATTAAAAATTCCACAAATATAAATATGATAAAATATGAATTTTTAGTTTGAATACATTTCGGGTTTGACAATTTTAACTTCCATTAGCTCATTTAAAGGAGACAGTGTGTTATTTTGTAGACAGAAAGGTAAAGTGTAATGAAATATTATCCGGGCATATTCCTACAACTAAATTGATAGCACTATTCTTTTCCACTTGTGATAAAAAATTAAGATTTCTAGTTAAAGAACGTTAATTATAAAATTGTTGATTATGTTAATTGAAAATTTATATATTCTTCACTTTATTCAGAATCTACGAATGAATAAGATTTAGTGAGCATTTTTAGAATATTTATTTTTTAAAACATTATATTTATGATTTTAAGGTAGCTGCAAATTTGTAGACTTCAAAATTATTAGATACTTAAGCATGTAGTAAATTAATATTTTCAATTGTTCTTATAAATTAATTATTGTAGATATCAAATTATTTTCTAAAAATAAATTTACTTAACTTTATAATTGTTTCAAAAATTATGACATGTTGAAAGTTTTTAAATTGAATCACTATGGAATTTCAAAATATAAACTAAGAAAAGAAAAATACACAAGTAAAAATAATACAACATTTTTAATAAGGCACTATACATTTTTACAAGAACAGTTTGTAAATTGCATGAAAGCACACTACACAACAGAAAAAAAAATATAACATTTTAAACATAATATTATCCTAATAATAATAATAAATATAAACAAAATAAACCATAATAAAAAAAAAAATGACCATGCAATGATAATTATTTGTAAAAAGAGCTGATACTAAGGATGGAAGTGATCCCTGTTGTAGAAGAGAAGTTGAGAAAGTAAGATACATAAAGTTATTTCATTTATATCTGTGAGCAAAGATAAACCATCGCTTGACGAAAGACGATTCCGAGCACAGTTCAGTAATAAATAATTTTTGAGATATTTGTTTAAATTTGATTTTATAAAGATTATTAACAAAAAAAAAAAAAGTCTTCCGATTATTTTGGAAATTATTCCACGTCTAGGTAAGTTCAATATAAGTATTATTATCTAGTTTCAAGTCTCTACGTGTATTTATAACCAAATTACAGCAAAAAAACATCCAAAAATTAAAACAACTCAAACGCTCAAAAGTTTTGGCGATGAATTTTTAAGAAAGTACATCAAAAAGGTGAAAAAAAAAGATATCTTATTTTTTTTCGACTAAATCATTTTTCTGGTAGAAAACATCGTCCGTGTTTTATAAAATAATGAAATTGTGAAATTGTACATTTTTCTACGCTTTTCTTTTTAAGTCCTTTAATTAAAATAGTTGTAGAAAATTAAAATGACCTTTTTAATGCACAATCAAGATAACTTGAGCTTTCAAAAAATGTGCTATACTTCTATATTGGAGCAAGTTTACTAGGATAAAAACGTGTCCAGAAACTAGAAAATACTATAACTGACACTATAACTAACACTCAGATACAACAGAGCAAGATTTCTGGTAGAAAAGTTTGCACAACAAATCGAGGGGTAATAGTCTAAGAAAGAGATAGCTTAGGTCCATCCAATATGTTTATTTTGTTTTTTCCTTGTTTAGGTAAAAAGGAAAAAAAACGCAAACAATTATTTTTGACATATTGGTTTGTAGTCAAAACCCCTAGGATCATAATAGACATAAATAACCATTAGATCACGACAAATATACTTAAAGAAGGAGAATATAGAGTTAAGTAACATAACATATAATATCTGCATAATATCAGAACTTTCAAAGCTATAATTTTGAAACTTTGTTGGTCCGCTTAATTTTGACATAACCATCGTTCTTATATATGCATTAAACGTATGTTTGAAAACAAATTGAAAAATTAGATTTGTTCTACAAAATTTTTTCCTCAAAATTTAATATTAAAATTCCCTAAAAAAAAAAAAAGTAACTACATTAAACCCAATTTTTTTTTTTACCACAAAGTAAGACCCTAAATAAACCTCTTGCTAAATTTTGTTGTTCAAGTCTAACAATTTTTCCACAGAAAACCTACCGAATAAATATTACATACAAAACTCTCAAAATTGAAATGTTTATAAATACCCCAAAAATGACTTACTTTTTTTGAAAATTTTAGCACATTTAGAGAAGCAAATATAATTTTTCTCTCTAAATTTCAAGTCTTTACGAATATTTAGTAAGCACGGCGGACGGTAACGGAGAGCGAGAGAGGCGGGCGGTCGTACGTCTACCGCTCGGTAAGACGGCGGCCGGCGATAAGGCGACGTTGCATAAGATCATACAAATAAGCTAAATAAAAACAGTTATTAATTTTTAACGACAAAATGTGTGCGTGCGTGTGTGAACCGGTCGGTGACGGCGTCATTCTCCAGCGCCAACATACGACGTAGAATGAACCCACTTATGTTTATAAGAAATAAGTATATGTCAAAAATATGCATGTTCTATTTAATAACATAATATATATAAATAAGTTTAATTATATTATTTAATAATAAATAAACTCTATTAAGTCTAAAATAATACATTTTTTAACAAATATGACACATATGGAACAAATATGGAAACTACAAAACTATGGAAATTGTCACTTACCTTGGTATTCTCTTTGGAGTTTCGCAAGAAGTTTGTTGCTTAAAATGTAAGGAGCAAAATTTAAGGATATGTAGGTTTCGATGAATCGTTACAATAAACACAAGTAGGTTTTCTACCATGCCAATAAGTATTTATATGGATTTACTGAAACGTCGGGTTGCTAATAATAAGTGATTACTTACGAATTTAGCTTGTTTAGTGTAACGAATCGCTAACCTAACTAGGCAGTAAAGAAAAAAAGAAAGAAAATTACTATAGGAAATATGAAAATAAATGAGTGGAATGACGAAGGAATTAGGTGTGGCATCGATAGTGGACAAATGAGAGGATATAGACTGAAATGGTTTGGGATGCCTCTCTACTCTATTTAAGAGAAAAGATGAATCAAAATTAAAATGATTTTAATGAAAATAGTCGTTGGTAGAAAGAAGAGAAGAGGTAGACCTGGCTCTATGCAATTGAGAGTACTAATGACGGGTGTATGCAAAACGATGTGGTGGATCGGGTCGAGAGGAAGTTTACGACGAGGGTGGACGATCCATGGGGGACTGTCCGAAAAATCCAACTGATAATGCGGTGTACATGGATTATTTTTTCATTTATAAAGCCGAGAACTGTTTTTTAGGATATTGTTGGACCAAGACACGTGACCGTATCGTTTTTCTTTTGTTACTGAATGTTTTTATTAATAGAAAGTTAAAAAATATATTGCATTATATTTTATTATATTAATAACTGTGTAAATGACATTGGTTATATTGTAAATGTGTTACAAATCAACATAATTAAACACTTTGTATTTTCGAACGCATTAAGTATTATTAAATTTATTACAAACACTATACTAATTATGTAATATTACAATGATAAATACTTATTGATAATGAACTTATAATATTATGTTATGAATTATCAATAATATTATAGTAACATTAATAATAAATTAATAAATAAAATTCGAATGCGAAAACAGTAAATATTATACTACGCTACGATGTGTATACTGGTTCATTGAGTTTATGTTTTCAGACTTTAACATTGTAACATTGCTATATTGAAATTGAATCTTTGGGTTTTGCGTGGCACTAGAGTAAAAAAAAAAAAATTAATTTAATATTCCAGTAACTGCTAATTGTATACTAATAATTTCAGCTAAAATGTATTTCACATTTCACAGTAATACATAAAATAGTAATTACTACAAATATTAGGTAGCAAATTGGTCATTTTGTTTTGCGTGTGTACCTCTATCACAGCTTTAAATATAACTTTTTAAAAAATAAAATATATATTTCAATAATTGAGGCTTGATAAATTTAATTAATTAAATAGATAATATTTAAGACAATTTTCACTGTGATAGAGGATCAAAAAACTCCCACGCGGAGGGTCTATAGCTCACTGTGCCCCTTCCTATATCAGGGGTGGCTTTTAGAGACTTGGTTGGAGGGAGGAAGTTATATTTTTCAGAAAACTCTTTTAAAAACATATTTATAAGTTTATTTTTCTTTTGTATAGTTGTTTTTAACAAAAATATGGGCTTAGGGAAACCACAGTCCTAACCCCCCTCCTCCCGAAGTCACCCCAGCAAAAACTTGTATCCCAATCACACCTAATATATAATAAGTGGTTACCGGTTACTTCAGGTAATCATAGTCAAATCAAAAATGACCGCGGAAAAAATGATTCTCGATAAAAATGTTCAGACTGTATAGACTTATACGTCTATAGTCAATATGTGTATTTTTATAATACTATGCTATATCATTATCTGATGACCCAAATATTTATTATAGGTACATAAACCGTTCATCGACTAATAATGGTGATTTCTCAAATTTGTACACGTTCCTATCTGATACATACCGTATATCAATATTATAACAATATAGGTTTTCATGCAAAATAAAATTGTTAAGTATCTAAATAAATAATCGCAATAATTAGAAAGCCGGGGGGGGGAATGGCCCTAATGCCCCTGGATCTGCGCCTGTCCTATATACGCCACTGTTAATTAATTTTAACATTTTCAGGGTTACAATAATATTATCTAAACAGCACAAATATTTTATCTAAACATATAATCTAAAATATCAACAAAAATCCTAAAATATTGTATATTGTTGTGTGTGGTTATCAGAGATTTTAGTTTTAAAAAATCATCAGTTGCCAGTAGTTGCAGAAAAAGCGAAGAAATGTGATTAATTTGATTGTGTTTGTATTTAGACCTCTACAACTTTTTGTATTTTGTTTTTTTTAAATAATTTAATTAAAATATACTTGCTTTATGTACCACGGTTTACGAAACGTTTGTTGCCTATGGATTAGGTCCCTCTATTATAAACAGTATTAATTAATTAGTAGGTATTCTTTTCTCTAATTTATAGTTTACATATTATTATGTTAATTAAACAAAGAATATAATAAAAAAAAAAATTCATTGTTTTAAAATATTTTCATTCTTCATACGACTAGTTATAGATAACAATTTATTTTTAATAAAAATGTTGAAATCATAAAAAATCCTGTATTTCAAAATTTATGTTACGCACCTAACCCCAGATCGTTTTACATAAGCAATGGTTTATCGTTTCATATGGATAAAAATTAAACAACTTTATGGATCCAATCTTCTCATCTTTCTACCTACAAAAATGACACACTCGCCCCACTATTGTCTTTTCTTTTAAAATGTTTATTCTTGTCCGTAATTAAATATTTAGAGTTCATTATACCTAACAACCGCAAAGTAATCTTTTAATAGGTATACTGAATGTCCCACAGTGTTATATGAATGTTATATAACGTATATATTTTTTTCCAACTGGGTTTCTCTTTAATTAAAATTTTCAAAATAGCAATTTTAGATTCTGAGCGGAGCTTAAAACACAATTATGTTTATGTTTATGTTCTGTAGAATTTCTTCGAGCAATTTTGGTACAGTTTTTACAGATAGAGCTTTTTCTGAAAGAAAATTGAACTGGAGTGTTACTTTAAGAGGGTAATTTTTTGATTTTCCCGGAAATTCTCCAATAAACGGGAAAAACTAGAATAAAAATAGATACAATATTAAATAAATTTGTTGTGTTAGAAGATAAAAAAATGCATTCTGACAGTTGTGCGTGTTGGTTGTCCTATCGTTACACATTTTATAAATACTTTTCACGGCATTGTAAATACAACTAGCTTTGGATACAAAAAAATCTTTCCGAAGGAACTAAAAGGGTCTGAAAGTAGAATAATATCTACTGTTATTAACTCTACATATAATTTCAATAAACTAAATAAGACATTTGAGGAAATGGTTAAAATTATTTCTTACTTATCTGAGGACAGTGAATTACTGAGAGAAAAAAAGATATACTTGAAATAAAATTAGAAACTTTTGAAAATAATACCTCTACTTCTCATATAGGATCCGAACAGGATATAACTTCAGAAATTATTGACAGGCAATCACTCTCTTGCAAATTAATTTATTAACTATTACAAAGATGTTTTTTTTCCTTTGGACAACTTTTCTATCATAGGACTTTCTCCGATTTACGTGTAGTACCTTTTCTGAAAGGAAATCAGTGTAGCAGGGTATTTTAAAGAATTATATTTGTATAATATTATGATTTTTTTTAATCTTTTCTATCAGAAAATCTTTTTAAGAAGAAATTTCACAGAGGAGATACTTTAGAGATGTCGTTAATCGATTTTTTTTCGGAGTTTTTTCGACCAATGTGTAAATCTGGGAAAAATTATAAGAAAACTAGGAAAAACGTAGAAAAACCAGGGAAATTTGTACAATATTAAACAATTATTATTACAGAAAATATGGGGACTTCAGCTCCCCCACTAAATATTGTGGTTGTCGATCATTTAATTAAAATGGACGTCCGAAGGTTACCTATTGTGACCACAAGAACTAATTAATTGTTAACAGTACATGTAGATAAATTAATGAATATTACAAATATAAGTAGAACAAGATGGTCTATTTTATACGATATTCAATCTGAGCTTTCTTGTTATTGGCCTAACTAATTTTACCCAGATAAAGATTGTTTTTTACTAAGTAGCCAATAATTGGTTTTTATAGACGTGTCTTAAGAATTTTTAGGTCTTGAGGTTTTAAGTTTTGGATAGAAGGATAGTAGTAGAAAAACATTTATATAGCAGCGATTTAAGAATGTGCCACCTTTCTCTTCCAACCAATACTTAAAAGTGGAATATCTCGTCAACTGGTTATAAATATACATTAACTAATACTCCATCTAACTGGGGAATGTTTAATAAAGGTCGCCGTTTGACAATCAAAAGTAGATAATAGTATAATTCTTTAAACTTTAAAGTTAATGAACATAGGTAAGGCAACCGGTATAGACGAGATATAAATGGAACTTATTTAAAATGCAAGTACAGAATTACAAGATGAGCTATTTAAATTAGTGAATGATATATACACCAGAGAGTTACCAGAAGATTTCAAGCCAAAAAAATATTTTAATACCTATACTTAAAAATAATGTAATGAATTAAGAACAATAAGTTTAAAGATATATGCAGCTAAAATCTTAGTAAAGAAAATATGGAATCGAATTAAGAACATTGTAGAAAATGTATTAAACAACGACCACTTCGGGTTTAGAACAACAAAGGTAATAGAGAGGCAATCTTAACCTTAAGAATATTGGTAGAAAAACAAATAAATTATAGCACATTTATAGCATTTATAGATTTGGATAAAGCTTTCGGTATGGTACCGTAGACGGATTTATTCTATACTTTATAAGTAATAGGATCTGATTACTAAAATAGAATAATAATACATAAATTATACAAAGACCAAATCAAATTTAGGAATTGACTCATAATATTTTAATTAAAATGAACACGATTTTGAAAAAGCACAAGAAGAAACGTCAAGATGCTCTTAAAACAATCAATTGATCATCAACTAGCAAAAAACCGAAAATAACGGAGTGCCTAAAATTAGACCGAATACGTAGAACTAATATCCAGGCAGGAAATCGGCTGCTCGAACAAGTGGACAATATTCAATACCTAGCCAGTTAAATCAACCATGATGGCAGATGCGTCATGAAAATAGGATCCAGAATCATAACCGCGATGTCAGTATTTATGAATACTATGGTATTAATAAATGTGATGTTAGGGAAGGATGCTGCGAATGAGTTGGATTGCACATAGCACCAACATAAGCAGTGAAATAAATAAACCCAGAAAAAAAACGTCAGAACAAGGCGATGGATCATGATTAGTCACATATTGAGGCACGAAAATGAACAAGTTTATAGAATAATAAAAGGGATGTATAAATTATATAAATTAATATAAATTATATTAATAATATAAATAAGAATTGAAAAAGGTCCAGCAATCAGAATTGTCGATCTTTAAATTGATATTCTTAAAAATAAATAAACTATTACTCAATACAGTATGTTAATAGCTAGAATATAAAAATATTTAATGTATAACTTACGTTGTGGTCCTGACATTGCTGGAAATAGTTATAAAAAAAAAAAAATTCAATTTCAAAAATATTACATTTTTTATTGTTTAATTCATCATTACATTATGGCCTACAATATACTAAACGTTCAATTTAGCGTGATAAATATCTGAATTTTTATTTTGCTAAAGAAAACATATCCACTAGGTGGTCCAATAAAATGAGCACAAGTATAATCTCTACGTGTATTTAATTATTTCGAAAATTATTTTTTAAAAAAATATAAAGAGATGCTGTTAAATGGATAATATACTATAGATTTGAAAAGTATCCACCAATTCGAATCTTCGAACGATAAGGTGAAACTCTTCATTATAAATATCTTTAATTCAATTCTGGTTGAGGACTACTAGATCAAAAGAATTGTATTTTATCAAAATTACGTCTTTGTTCTGGTATTGCTAGTGCTAGGTTAGAAGAAAAAAAAGAACTCCATTTAGAATAAAAAAATAATATGACATATCTTCATATCCTCATATGAATATTATAATATTATAAAATAAACTTAGGGCAAAATAAAGCAGAAAACTAGAATAGGCTTAATGCGTGTAGTTCAGTTTTAAGAATTTTTTAAAAGAATATTATTTTTATTTGGTCAAATGTAGATATAATTTTTTGGCAGATAAGAAACATTTGAAAACGTACAACAATTTCTTTTAGAATTAATAAAATTATTGTTTTATAGTTAAACGTTAATTGGGCACGAAATCTAAAATAACCCGACCCAGTTACGTACTGTTGAAAAATAACACAAATTATGGCCCATGTTCACGCGGAATTTCTGTAGGCAATGGGTTAACGGAAGATTTCCGGCTGCGACTGTAATAGGAAAAGGGTATTATGCAAGATTAAGGTAACTTCGGGGTTTGATCGGCTACGCAACATCAGGCGGTCCTACATACCGGCAACGGGAGCACACATGATACAACAAAAATATGATAATGAGTCGGCTACGTGTAAATACGCACAAAGTAACGACAAAAAACGATTCAGTTATAATACAACGGCGGATGTGCGACCACACGACGGCAATGACGGACACTTTTGCGATCGTTGTAGTGCGATAACAGAAGACGCAGCAACCGAAAATCGGAAAAATAACCGAGGATAATGGCAACTTGCTGCTTGCGTTGTGCCGTTGTATCGATGCATAGTGCAGGAAGGTCAAATTTTGGCCTGTGATCGGTAGCAGAAACCATGTACCTCAGATTACACATTCGTTAACCAACAGCTCGGTTAATCATTATTATTTCTATACGTCTACAATTTATTATAATACAATGTTCTCTATAAAATATGCCCTGCAATATTGAAAACTACTTTATTAACCAAATTATTTATTTTATTTATTATTAAAAATATATTTCAAATAATTCAAACGATACCTCTAAAAACTAAAGCTAGAATAAACGAAAAATAAAAAAAAATATAAAATATGTATTATTAGTAAAGTTTATAAATGAGAAAAAATTCATAATGATATTATACCTTTCCAAATCAAATTTCATATTCAAAAGTGATATAATATTTGTTAAAAAAAAAAAAAAAAACAAGCTGTATTCATATCTTCCACATGATTATGTAGGTCACAGAAACCAATTTAGTAAAAAAAAATAGTTTTAAACATGTGAATAGCATAGTTTAAATATAATTTATATTATTATACCCAGAAAACCGAAA